GGGCTTGCCCTTATAGGAAGCTTTTCTCGAACCTAGCATAATATAAACCCTATTTAATTCCTTATATTTAATAGGGGAACTTGTCGGCCAATACATTGGTTTCGCAGACCAAACGGATGTCATAACTTTCTTTAGTTTATTTGATCGAGTCTTACCCTCAATTCTTGTCGGCCAATACATTGTGTTCATCATTCGGGATAGATACAAGATTTGAGGTAAAGCGCTCTTTCATCTAAACTATGAAAATTATGGGGTCAGTTTGACTTCATCTTTTTCAAAACTAAAAGTTTTTAAAACGTCCTTCCGAAGCGGGCAACGGGATTTCAATTTCGATGACTGACAGCTCCTTACGAGCAAACCCCACACCAAAAATAGTGCCGACAGATAGACATGATCCAAGGGATAGTAAACTAAATTTAGCTCTTTCGACTTATTCTGAGATTCTTCACAAAGATGGCCAAAGGGTACCCCATTGATTATCTTTCCAAACCTCTGAGAAGGATACTATTCCAAGGAGAGTTGCCCGTCAACCTAAAATGATACACCCTTTGCCTGATCGTTCGAGTTCACCCTAACGACAAGACGGTCACTATTGAGGATTCTCTTAAGGAGGCTAACCAAAGACCTAGTTGGCCGAGACTTCTCAACCGATCGAACGATTATTTGACAACTTTATGAAAACACCAGCAGACCATTAAATGCCTCTCTTCAAGCAGTTACGAATATAAAATGATGCCAACACTATGAAAGGGTCTCAGAGTCAGTTACAAATATGAAATAAAGTAATAATGACTTGCAAAGTCTATATTAAAACAGTAATAAAATAGTAACTTTTTTGATACTCCTATGATCTATAAACAAGGGTTCATTCCTTGAAGAAATAACTATTAAATTTATCCTCTCACAACCTGTGTTACTTTATATATTTTTTTTCTCTCTCATCTCTCCAATGCTCTATAAATTGAGTCTGATTCACAAGATATTTTTGAATTCAAAACAAAAAATCAAATATAGATGAAACAATGTTTCAAAATATACTAATAGATATTATACAATGATAAAAGTGACATACTAAAAATTTAGAATATAAAATCTTAAAACTATGAAAATATTTAAATTAAGCAAATAAAACATTTTTATCTTCTATAAAAAATTAAAAAACCTCTAATAATAAGGTTTTATTTTCTTAAAAATTTTTTTTTCTAAACTGACAGAAGACATTTTGTGATAGCATTATATAATTCATTTTCACGTGCTACTTGTATTAAGATATGGACAAACATAAAAAGGGTAACTACATACTGAACGCCCAAAACTTGCTAATTACAAGGCAATCACCCTTTTTCATCCAATTTTAAAATTTAAGATAAAATTTCTACCCACCCATATTTTTTATTTTTATCAAATACTCAATAATTTGAATGTATCACACGTAAATACATAATTTGATAGTTAAAAAAAAAATCTTCTTATTGTTAATTTGAAAATATTAATACTTTGGGTGATCTATATTTAACCATTCCAAGTAAAAAGGCTATAAGTATATGTTGGATTCTCTTGAAGTGAAGAGATGTGTCTTTTGGCGTGAAGAAATGTATCTCTTGGATGAAGATGTGTGTCTCTTGGAGTGAAGGGATGTATCTCTTGGAGATAAGTGTGTTGGGGGAGCGAGGGCGTGTTAGTAATTTTATGTCGGTTTTATTTATATATATGATGTGTAACCATATGTGTGTGTAGTAAACTTCTCTGAAATAGTGAAATCACCGCTCTGCTCCCGAGAACGTTGGCACATTGTTGAATCTCGTTAAATATCTATGTATTCTTATGTATTTGTATCAATTCTTATTTTTTTTCCTTCTAATTTCTCACCAGTATAATTAATTCAAAGTTATTGTCGACCAGAGGAGACATTTTTAATCAACCATTCATTAAAGCTTGGCCAATATTTTATAAAAATGGCAGATATAGCGCTTTAATACCTATCTTGCACAATAATATGTCTTACCACATATTGATGCTAAAATGTCCCGCCCAGCAAACCTAGTTAAGAGTGGAATAAATAAAATGTATTTTACCTTTTTTATTATAAATCTGAATGGATCATATATGACTCTCTTATAAAATCCTCATTAGTCGAAACATAGATCAAGAAAAGTTATATTAAGTTAAATAAAAATATGAAAAAATATATAGAGAACTAAAAGATGTACTGCAGAAAAAAAATAATAACATAAAAAATTATGGCGTTTTTTGCAAGCTTTAGTGTCGATTTTAATTGCCACAAAAAAACTCTTTCAACTGTTATAAAATTGTTTCTTTATAAGTATCACAACTAGCTTTTTATTTATACACATAAATAAATAAAAAGTGGAACACTTGAAAACAATACAAAGAAGCTAAAATTATATGTCAGAACAAAGAAAAAAAATTGCTTGTTCAATTAATTAACATATTCTATACAAAATTCATTGTATCAGGACATCAATGACAGTGTGTCACGTGGCAACCAGCGCCTGAACCTTTTATGTCGATGGACTCAAACTATCACGTGGCCCCGTGTTATTGGACACCTGATGCAAATTTATATCAGGTGTCTTGATGCAATAATTTCTCGTGGATAAGGCTCCAAAAAAAAAAGCCCAAAATCCAGTTGAAGTATGAAGTAAGGAACTGTTAACCAGAGCCATCTAAATTGGCGGCATAAGAATATTTCAAAATAACAGAGGAATGATTCAACCCTCATGTAATCAACATTAGAAAATATGGATGCAGTAACAAAACAGTATTTAAATATCAAAAACCTGGGTCTGCATTAATATAAATGTTCCGAACATATTGTTGAGTCACAAGTGTTGAACATATCATAATTCTCCAAAAAAGTAGTGCAATTGACTGTATTCAGCAACACTTTCAAAATGCAACGTTGTCGGCAAAAAGGGAAGTCAAAAGCCAAAATTAATTGCATGTTTTTTTCTTGCGTTGCCTATAAAATAGGTGTAGAATATATTCAAGAAGATCCAAATGGCAAATATTAAAGTAGAGAAATAGTGTATTAAAAAATAAGATAGGAAGAAGAGATGATATCACAACAACCAAAAGGATTACAGTCGTTATGAACATGGTTGAGATTGAAACAATAAAATAATTTTGCGGCACATTCAACTAACAATATGAAGCACGCAATATTGATAACATAAGAGATGATTCTCATAAGAGAAAGAGTAAAGAAGGCAAAAAACCTAGAAGAGTTGCTTAATTGTTCACCCTCAGAATAGTATGCGCCTTCTTGAATAATGTTGTCAGCATTTAAATTGGAGAGTTCATTATTTCTTTTGGCTTTTCTTCTCGTATGCCTTTGGACTTGCCACTCATTTTCTAACTCATCTATAGCACGTTGTAGTGATGTATTGATAGCAGTATTCGAGGGGGATGGCAGAGAAGCTGGCTTAGAAAGTTGTTTATCTGACATGACATCTGTATTAGAATTTAACTACAAGTTTGGAATGGGCAAATAAGTTTACGTGTTAGTAATATTATTAGAAATTGAGTTTAAATGAATAGGAGGAGGAAGTTCTGCAAAAGCCGTATTATCATGAAAGCCATTTTCATTCGAGGGAATAAGGGGGGTATTATCACTATGTTGTATAGGAGGATTTTGCATGGCCCAGCAATATTGTGGCACTCTACATTTGGTGGTGTAACATGATGTGTATTAAGCACTTGGAATTCAACAGGAGTAGTCTGTTGGTTGGGTTGTTGAAGACGTGTATCCTCTATTAGCTGGGGGTTAAATTTAAAGCATTGCGAAACATGACACCCGAGAAAACAATTCTATGTATATATATATCTACATATATATATATATATCTACATATATATATATCTACATACATATATATCTACAT